TGCTTGCCTGGAGTGTGCCGGGATCCCATGTGGGCACCGGTTCTGATCCCAGCAGCTCCACTTCCCATCCAGCTCCCTGCTTGTGGCCTGGGAAAGCAGTCAAGGACAGCCCAAAGCTTTGGGACTCTGCACCCAAGTGGGAAACCTGGAAGAAGTTCCTGGCTCCTGGCTTTGGATTGGCACAGCACCGGCAGCTGCGGTCACTTAGGGAGTGAGGAGGATCTTTCTGTCTCTCTTCTTCTCTGAATATCTGACTTTGCAATAAAAATAAATCTTTAAAAAAAAATTTATTTTTTATTGGAAAGGGAGATTACAGAAAGAAGGAGATACAAAAATAAAGATTTTCCATCCACTGGTTCACTCCCCAAGTGGCCACAATTGCCAGAGCCGAGCCGATCCAAACCAGGAGCCAGGAGCTTCTTTCTGGTCTTATACATACATGGGTATGGGGTCTCAAGGCCTTGGACAATCCTCTACTGCTTTCCACAAGCGGAGGACCTGGATGGGAAGCAGAGTAGCTAGGACACGAACTGGTGTCCATACGGGATCCTGGTGTGTGCAAGATGAGGGTTTAACCACTAGGCTAACACACTGGGTCCAATAAATCATTTTTTAAAAAGTTATTTTAAATGTTCTCACCATAAAGAAGTAAGAAATGTTCCAGGAAATAGACATGCTAAACTTTTATTTTATTTGATACTGTAAAATATATGCACATATCAAAATTTAACACAGTACACTGAAAGCAAATACCATTTTTTGTCAATTAATAATAAAAATTTTTAAAAAGCACAGACATACAAATCTACATAAAGGTTGAGAAAAATAAAGACTAAGCTGACTACTGGACTTGGGATCACAGATGTCTTTGCTGATCTAAATATGTACAGTTCAGGGAAGTGCTAAGACTGAAAGCCTGATTAGAATGGGAAAAAAGGAAAACAGGAAATGAATATTACAAAACCAGTTAACTTTAAGTAGTTCTGTCACAAGAAAAACAGAAATGGTATGGCCACTGCAGAGGAATGTGCAATCTTTTGCTTTATTTAACTAACTTTTCCACTTGCACTGATCAACCTGTTGATCTCATGTAATCTCATAGCTACAAAATATGGTTTACATTCTGATTTCCTAAGTTATTCCCTCTAACTTGGAACGCCGACAGAAAATGCTAAATCCCTAAAAATTGCCTATTCAGCATCTTTTTAGGATGCATAACATTCATTTCAAATATAATGTCCAAAATTGAATTTTTGATCTTCCTCAAATCTCTACTTCTCAGTTTTCATACTGAAAATTCCAGCTGCTCAGATAGAACATTTTGAAAGTTACCATAAATCCCTCTCTCTCTTCACATTCCACAGCCAATCTATAGATAAGTTCTCTAAACATTAGCTTCAAATTCCACCACAGAATTTAGTCCTACATCGTCACCACTTGTACGTGCAATCTCCTCTCCACTTCCTGAAAAACATATGCCTTGTTGATTTGTGACGCAGGTAGACACTGTTTTGAGCACAAACTCGCCTAGAACACTCTGCATGCACACACGCCAGCAGTGGGCAAAAGCTGATGAAGCTCAGAGGCAGGTGTTGTTCTTAAGCTACTAAATTCAGATGATGGAGGTCATTAAAGAGACAGCAGCAGCCAGGGGAGGACAGAGAACTAGTGCCAAACGTCTGAGAATGAAAGCTGCATTGACAAGGGCCAAGCTTGGCAAGGCCGGAGCCCCAGGCAGCACACATTCCTAAGACGACTGGACGCAAGTTCTGTTCTCTTCCACCCTCAGAGCATGCGATGATCCGCCTGAGGACCTCCTGGTTGGGATGCAGATAATTCAGTAGATCCACAAATGAATGAAATTAACATAAAGTACTGTTCCACAAACAAATGTCACCAGGACAGGCACTGTAATGACCCCATTCTCTCAGAGACAGGATTTCTTTGCTCTGCTTTCAAAAAACTTCTGTGTTTTCTTTTCTCCTTATATGTCATCCCTTCTCCAAACCCCATTCATTCCGCCCTGGCAGCAGCAGATTGGTTTACTCTTGCCTGTCTCCCTCACTCTATTGCAGCTATAAAGGCCTAAACAGACCATATAAATTTCTTCCTGGTATGCTACTTCTCCCTCTCCTTCCTTTAGCTCTTCACTACCATTCATGTTTTCAACGAGGCCTTCTCTGAACACTCTATTCAAAATTTCAATATTATCTTCCTCCTTTTTCCCTCTCACTTAGCACTTATTATTTACCTCTCTTTCTCATCCACATATCCATACCCCACCCAATACTAACACAATGACACTTCAAAGCATTCACAGAAAATGGAATTAAAAACTAAATTTAGAGATGGGCATTTGGCTTAGTGGGTACTGGTTAGAGCCCTCGCTGTTCCACTTCTAATCCAGCTATGTGCTAATATGCCTGGGAAAGCAGCAGCTGCTGGCCCAAGTGTTTTGGGTCCCTGAACCCACAAAGACCAGTAAGAAGCTCCTGGCTTCAGACCAGTCCAGCTCCAGCTGTTGAAGTCACTTGGGTAGTGAACTGGTAAAAGATCTCTCTCTCTCTGTAACTCTGCCTTTCAAAGCAATAAATAAATCTTAAAAACAAAAACAACAACAACAAAAGACACCAATTAAGGACACCCATGTCCCCTTATCTCAGTGCCGTGAGTTTCAAGTCCTGGATCCACTTTCCCTTCACTTTTGAGGGAGGCAGCAAGTGATGGTTCAAGTGTTGGGTTGCTATCACCTCCATGACATATGTGGATGGAATTCCAGCATCCCAGCTTTGGCCTGGCCCAGCAGATGGAACCCTCTTTCTTTACCTCTGTTTCTGCCTCTCAAATATAAAGAAGTAAATTTTAAAGGATGGCTAGCTTAAGGGAAAGGTGAGAGATTTCTTTTTGCTGCAAAGATATGCTGAAACCCATGTATATGAGGGCTCTTCAAAAAGTTCATGAAGACTGTGAATTATCAAAAATCTATCATGGATTTTAAATTTATCCACTAAAATAAACTTACCTTTTAATTCAATTTATTCGTGAACACTTTGAAGCACATGTGCACGTGCGCATATTCCTAGTTTATTTGATAGCCTATCTCACCAACTACAAAACAAATTACTTGGAGGCAAGGAGTATGGTCTCCTTCTTTCATTGCCACACATGACAAGATTTTTAGTAATAAGATATTCAATGTAAGAATATGCTTATATACTAAAAAATTGGAAGTCTTCCTATACACTTTCCTCTTATATTCAATCACCAACCAAATCTTACCAATTTTATTCCCCAAATAATAATTTTATACCCCAAATATTGTTAATTAGTTTCCTCCTTTTCAGTTTCAACACAGTCATTATCTTTCACTGAGACTACACATGGGGGGCCCAGCCCAATAGCCTAGTAGCTAAAGTCCTTGTCTTGCACGCGCCAGGATTCCATATGGGTGCAAAGTGTATCTGGCTCCTGGCTTCTGACCGGCTCAGCTCCGGCCGTTGGAGCCACTTAGGAGAGAGAGCTAGTGGATGGAAGATCTTTCTCTCTCCTCATCTCTGTAAATCTGACTTTCCAATAATAAATAAATAATTAAATAAATAAGTAAATTAATAACAATTAAAAAAAACACGGAGCTGGGACATTTTCTGAACTGACTAATCCTCTACTTCCAAGCACCCGCATACCACATGGGACTAGTTTGTGTCCAGGCTGCTCCACTTCCCTTCCAGTTCCCTGCTTATGACCTGGGAAAGCAAAGGAGGATGGCCCAAAGCCTTGCGACCCTGTGCCCAGAGACCCAGAGGAAGCTCCTGACTTTGGGTCATCAGCTCCAACTGACGCAGCCATTCAGGGAGTGAACCAGCAGATCGAAGGTCTTTTTTCTGTCTCTTCTCTCTGTAAATTTGCCTTTCCAACAAAAACAAATCTTAAACACACACACACACACACACACACACACACACACACACACACACACACAAAACTCTGAAACCAAATCTGTCGCCTTAAATCAAACTTTTACAGTTTGGTCAGAGTGATTTCAGAGTCTAAGATTAAGTAAGTCAGTCACCCCCTGTTACCCTCTAATCCTTGCCTAACAGTACCTTAGTTAGCTAGTGTAGGGCTTAGCCTTTTTTTCCTATGAAAAGGCCAGCAATAAACAATGTAGGCTTTTTAGGTTATAGTGTCTCTGTTTCAGTTCCTACTGTTGGAATACAAATGCCAACAACAAGGACAACATGTAAACAAACTACGTTATGCTCAAAAACCTGTCTTCACAGAAACAGAAAGTGGACTAAGGCCGAATATGGCTCCCTGACCTAGAAGATACAGTAAAACTCCTTAACATGGATTACAAATTATAAATTGACATAACTTTGGTTTAGTTATGTCTACTATGACTCTTAATTTTCTTTTCACACATTACACCCTAATACAGAACTGTTCATACTTCCATACAATGATCACATCTGTGTGCTTGTTTGTTTTCTGTTCTCACCTTTCTTCTGACTAACTCACAATCTCAACTGTGAGCTGGCTCAAGAACCACCCCTCCTAGGAAGCCTTCCTTGAACATTTCAACCGGGTAAGGTACTCTTTCTTGCTCTATCAAAAACTCGAACGAATCCCTGTATGTTAATTTTATGATACCACATTGCTATATTGTTTAAATTCTCCATCACTAATTTTCAAGTTGCTCATAGGCAGGGATGTGGTCATTCGTTTTTAAAGCTCAAGTACCTAGTATATAGTAAGATTCCTAGAAATGTGATTTAACTAGAAGATTCCTTCTAGTAATAAAACTAAAGGGGAGTAAACACGTGGACTCCAGCATTAGTGAGAATTCTGGTTAGTCAGTAGGTCAGAAAATAAGACAGCAAATATCAACAATGTAACTTAAAATGTCTCAAAATATTTAATCCAATGTCATCACCAGAATTTAAAATAGAAAAAGAAAGAATAATGACTAAGTCATTACGCAAAATGTTTTCAAGACTTACTTCTGTTTGAAGAGCAAGTTTCACTTGGCTGTGATAGGAATCTAAGAGTTCTTCAACAGGATGTCTGAAACAAAGAACCATCATTGTGGCTAAAGGATACTACATTAAAAAAAAAAAAGATTGTTTAAATCACCAAAAAATTTTTATGTGTGTAAAAATCTTCAGATACATTACCTTGTCATAACTTCTTTATATGGTTTCTCTATTTGATACAGGTATTTGTTTAAATCCACAGGTGTTTCATCATCTTCCGCCTAAACACACAAGTGTACATGTCAAGATGAGATATACATTTTGCTCCTTTATTTTTCTAAATCAAATATGATTAAACATGATGGAAGTGATTTTTCAGAATTAAATAAAATAAACATAAAATTTCATCAGAATTAGCCATTATCTATAAATGACTCAGAAAAAAAGTAAGTAAATATTCTGGAAAAAAAAAAGGGTTGATTTGGTTTTGAAACGGAAAACATAAAATACTTTTTAAGTCTAGTTTCTGATCTATAAATAACTCTTAATGCAAAAACGACTTGCGTTCTAAATATAGAGTACACTTTTAAATATGGTTGGCAATCAAATAAAGGTGGGGACCAGATGGGAAAGAGATCATCTGAATTGTTGCTTTCTTTTTCCAATGATACCATCAAGTTTTTTTCCATTCCCTCTCATCTCCCAAAAAACAAAGCACCAGCCTCTTTTGCCATTCCATATTATGAAAAATCATCATCCCTTAGGAAAGTGAAAACAGAAGTTACCATTAATTACCAAAATGTACTGAATTTCATAAAACAGTTTTCACCCAACTGAAATAAATTCCACCAAAGAGTAAAGATCAAACAAAAAAGTGGAAATGGCTGATATTTTTTCATCCAAAATACTCACAAATGAATAATTTTCTTCAGAGAGCAAATCTTCACTTTCAAATTCATGGAAAGTTTAATATACAGTAAATCAATGCCTAAACTTGCATTTTACTTTGCCTTAACCTCAAAGAAAGTACTAAATGTTCTAAAACAGAATAACAGCTTTCATCTTGTGAAAAAATAACTGTTCCATTTGGTGTACACGTTAACTTTTTCTTTCCCCAACTCATAGTATTAAAATCTTTCCTTTTTCCTTTTTCCTGACATTTTCACTCTTGTGAAACTATTTTATAACATACTCAATTTTCATTTCTCCACTTTGACGTTCAATATACCTCTAGCTCTGAATGTGCTAACTTACCTTCCATTAGCTGCTAAAGACTTTTGTTGAAGATAAGTTGATAACTCCAGACTAATCCAGGAATCTTAGAAAATGTGCAAACTTAAAAATGGCTAATAAATAGAATTACTCAAATTCAACTAACTCAAGTCAGTTTAAAGGGGTATACACTTACTGTTCTAGCCAAATTTTGGCACATTGCATTGCAGGTCAATAGTTGTAGTTTAATCTCTGTGTCCCATTTTCGGCAGTTCTGAATATGTTCGTGACTTCCAAGACAATGATTACTGTTAAGAAACAGTAATTATTCACAGTACTATTCTAGTCAAATGAAAAATTGTAGAGGTAGGGAATAAAATAGATATTGAAGAGAACGGTAAAATAAGAGAATTTTCTAACCAAACACTAACATTTTAAAAAAAATCATTCTATATGAAGAAAGACAAAAAGCAAAGAGAAAGAAGAAAACAAGAAGAGTAAGGACATTTCCAATGGCCTAAGAATAAGATCTGTAAAACAACTAGACTAAATGCTACACATAAAAAAGTTACCTGATTAAGAAAAAAAATAATGGTGTTCTGGCAAGCAAAAGGAAATAACAAGCTGAGTACTGTATGCAGAGTTAACAATACTCAATGGAGAACAGTACAAAAGGAAAATAGAGTATGGAATGATGTAACTATCAATTTAATAGCACAAAAATCTTCCTGTATGAAGCTATTAGGTTCTTGAAGAATATTATATCTTATTTATCTCTGAAATTTTATTACTATATTATTTTAGACATAGGACTTTTCAACATAAGCTTATAAACCCAATGCAGCAATTAAATAGGACTCAATGTATTTCTGGAATATAAATTTAACTTGAAGCATTTGTAATTTAAGTCATTAAAAATGAAATTTCCAAAGCTGTTATTAAGTATTTAAGTGAATAAACTTACTTCTGCAGTACCTCCTCTTGACCACAAACTTTCAGAACATAGCTGCCAACATCTATTTGATTCAAGTCATCATGGACCCAGCAAAGGGCTTGCATTATAATGATTTCTACAGTAGAACTCACTGTAAAAGAGTTAACCATTATTTCCATTTTGCTTATTTATCACTCAGGGTATACCTATCCATACTGTATGACTTTTAAGACAACACTGTAAAACAAAAGTAAAACATCTCAAATGCAGGCTAAAATTTTCTAATGGTCACACTGAAAAAAGAGAGGTAAAATTAATTGTAATAATATTAACATAATACATTCAAAATATTTTTAAGTATTCAAAAATTACTGATATTTTACATTGCAACTAACACTTGTAATATTTTACATTTAAACTAACTTTGATATTTCTCATTAGAGATATACATAACAGACATGCATTCATAAATAATCAATTACTTTGTTCTTCAACTTCAGTACTACCTTAGTTTACTGCGTATCTAGTTATATAAGATTGCCCATCTAAAATGGTTTTATAGTTCTTTCAAGATCTCCCATCTAAAATTTGAAATATGTTTAAAAAACAATGTTTCTTTCAAAAACTAGAAGACTGACTGCTATTGTTGGCTAATATTTCTGTTTCAGATTTCTATTTTTTATAAGGCCTCCAAAAGCATGAGAACCAGAAAAAAAGTATCCAAGCATTGGAAATATTTCTAGTTATAACCACCAAAGTAAAAAAATTGCGTAATTCTTGGGTCAAAATTGTTCAAGTCCCATTAAAATAACATACACTGTAAAATGCAAAAAACTCTGAAAGAAGTAATATTAAAAAAAATAATAACAAAAAACGTGCTACAGACTTTGGTGATAAAAGGATCTTCGGCCCGATGATTCACTCCCCAAGTGACTGCCATGGCCAGTACTGTGCTGATCTGAAGCCAGGAGCCAGGATTAGCTGATTCAGCCATTTTGGCTAATGGGGAGTGAACCAGTGGACAGAAGAGCTTTCTTTCTGTAAATCTGACTTTCCAATAAAAAAGCGCTTGCCTTTTTTTTTTTTAAGATTTATTTTTATTATTTTTTCATTGGAAAGGCGGATATACAGAGAGGAGAGACAGAGAGGAAGATCTTCCGTCTGATGAGTCACTCCCCAAGTGAGCGCAACAGCCAATGCTATGCAGGTCCAAAGCCAGGAGACTTCTGGGTCTCCCACGCAGGTGCAGGGTCCCAAAGCCCTGAGCCGTCCTCAACTGCTCTCCCGGGCCACAGGTAGGGAACTGGAAAGGAAGCAGGGCTGCCGGGAGAGAACTGGCGCCCATATGGGATCCTGGGCCTGCAAGGCGAGGAGGACCTTAACCACTGTGCCACGGCGCCGGGCCCGCCTTTTTTTTTTTTTTTTAAGATTTACTTATTTTTATTGGAAAAGCAGATATACAGAGAGGAGTAGAGACGAAGAGGAATATCTTCTGTCCAGTGATTCACTCCCCAAGTGAGCGCAATGGCTGGAGCTGAGCCAATCTGAAACCAGGAGCCAGGAGCCCCTTCCAGGTCTCCCATGCGGGTGCAGGGTCCCAAAGCTTTGGCCGTTCCTCTACTGCTTTCCCAGGCCACAAGCAGAGAGTTGGATGGGAAGTAGAGCAGCCTGGATGAGAGCCAGCGCCCATATGGGATCCCAGTGCATTCAAGGCAAGGACTTTGGCCACTAGGCCACTGCGCCGGGCCGAATAATTCATTATCTTTCTAAAAGGACCTGGCAAGATATTTGGAATTTTAATATCCAGTAGTTTATAAATAAGCATTTACGAATTGACATAAAATGGGAAGGGGGAAAGAATTAGGTTATAATTATAACTTTCAGGCCAAGTGTCACTGATTTTTCAGGGAACATGTATTTAAAAGATAACCTTTTTTTCCACTAATCCTAACCAGAAAATTATCATATGCACACTCTTAGGAAAGAACACCTGATGATTACAAAGTTGGTTTATTAATAAAATAAGGAGTGAGCACCTGGCCTAGTATTTAGGTTGTACCTGGATCTCACAGTAGAATGCCTGGGTTTGGAACCAAGCTCTGTATTCTAATTCTAACTTCCAGGTAATGTGGACCTGGGGAGCACTGGCGACACTTCACGTAAATGAGTTCTTCCACTCAACTACGAAACCTGGCTCAACATTTCTGGCCCCTGGGCCCAGCCCCAATAACTGAGGCATGTGATGAAACAGAAGACAGGAACTCACTTTCTTTCTCTTATTCCTTTCAACTAAATAAATACAAATCTTCAAGTAAGAATGATAAACATTGCATTTTAAACACTTTCCTCCTAAACAGAGCAAAGCAAAATGCCAAAGGCAAGCACCAAACCTACCATCACAGGTAAAAGTAACTGGTAGTTGAAATCCTTCAATTTCAATGGAGACCTTCACACTAGCATTTTCTCCACAGAGGTTTCTTTGCACTGTGACTGGACTTAACAAATAGCCCGGATTTGTGCAGTGACTGGTATATGGAAATTTGGCCTTCAATCTGTCCACAAACAAACAAACAAACAAATAATTTTTTTTGAAAGCTGCATTTGAGAGCCCTAAACAAGGCTTCACATGTTTATTTATAGCCAGTCCGTTCTGTGATTGCCCAACTCTAGAAGACCTACAACAAATGAACATCTATCAAAAATTCCAAATGGCAGCATTTATCTTTTAAATAAAAAGGATCTAGGGACTGGAAGAGATGAATTCCTGCCAGGATATGTTGGTAACACCATCAACATTACCCAAGCATACACTGGAGAAACGGCATTAAATGAGGTTCCCTGCTTCTGACTCTTATGCCACACAGTACAATTACCCCAAATAGCATTGATTTTAATTTAATGAATTACCAATATAGGAAATTTAGCTCCCAAATTGTAAAAGGCAGAGGTAAGTTTGTCCTTTAAAAAAGTTTTTTTCCCTAACAATTTTTTTTCCTTACAAACATTATTTTTGGTTCTGGGTACTGAAAAACAAAAACAAATAAACAAAGACAACAGGTTTTTGTTGCACCACAAAGGCTTTTTTTCATCCCTCCAAAATGATGTCTAAACCTTGGAGAAGTGAAAGAACATGTGAAGGTATTCACGGCATTCACAAAAGCAAGGTGGTGGAATTCTCAATATAATGAACATGGTGTATGGCTCATCTCCAGCCAGCACTGCCGTTCTCAGAACCAAAGGGGGCACTGATGCTGTCCTCAACTTGTGCATTTACTTTAACTGACTTTTTTTTTTGTAGTTTGAAAAACAGGTTCCAGCCTTCGCATTTGTTTCAGGTCTACTAATGGAATACACGTTTGTTTTGTGGGTTCCATAGTTCAGGAAATTTATTATCTGCGTGTATCCACTAAAATCTTACCATGTGCTCAGTCAAGCTAAACTTCTATATAGATAACCAAATCACCTAACACTGAAGGCCAGAGGAAGACAGAAATGAAAATTTTAAAAGATTTTAATTGGATTAACATCATTTCAAGAAAGAGTACACTTAGTATTGTTTAAAACAAAATTAATTAGGTGTAGATATAAAGCCCGACATTATTATAGTGCTGAAACATTAGATCTGAATTATGCATGAAGAAAAGAGACTAGAAAGCTATTCAAAAAAAGACCAAGTACAGAGCAGTTTCTCATCCTGAGGCTCATACATAAAACAGCAAAAAATGCTTGCTGGTATTTAGCATACTTAAAATAACTTAATTTGAATCTATAACTTGCAGATATAATGAGCTTAATCAACTATGATAAATATGAATCAAAAGAAAAGAAAAAATAAAAATATGTAGTAATAAATTAGTACCAAATCCTTCAGAAGATTAATTCAATTATTTCACAAAAACAACAAAAAACTAACTATTCCTAAGTTTTGCTTTTTAAACATTTATTTATTTTTGTTGGAAAGCCAGATTTACAGAGAGAAGGAGAGACAGAAAGATTTCCCATTTACTGGTTCACTTCTCAACTAGTCACAAAGGCCAGAACTGAGCCAATTCAGAGCCAGGAGCCAGGAGCTTCTTCTGGGTTTGCCATGTGGGTACAGGGTCCCAAGGCTTTGGACCATCTTCCATGGCTTCCCCAGACCACAAGCAAGAAGCTGGTTGGAAGTGGAGCAGCTGGGACATGAATTGGCACCCAAATGGGACCCCAGCGCATGCAAGGTGAGGACTTTAGCCATTAGGCTACCAAGCCGGGCCCTATTCCTAATGATTAGGAAATTTTAATCATAGACTAATATTAACTACAAGCAAAAATATCTTGACAGTTTCTTCTTCTTTATCATTTTTTTTTTTAAAGATTTCTTTGTTTTTATTGGAAAGGTAGATTTACAGAGAGAAGGAAGGACAGAAAGGAAGATATTTCATCCACTACTTCACTCTCCAATTGGCTGTACTGGCCAGAGCTGAACCAATCTGACGCCAGGAACAAGGAGACCCAGAAGAAGCTCATGGCTTTGCATTGCCACAACTCTAAGCAATGTGGCCAATTGGGGAACCAGCAGGTGGAAGAGCTTTCTTTCTGTTCCTCCTCCTCTCTGTAAATCTGCCTTTCAAGAAAAATAAATAAATGTTAAGATTAAAAAAAAAATGAATCCTCATATATTACAAAAAATAAAAACAGTCAAATGTAGGAGGAGAAGAAAATCCAGGAAGCCAAATTTTCAAATTGTCAAACTGTAATGTAGCAGTTACTCAACACAGTCTGACAGAAAGTTATGTAGTGCTTGTTTTAGGAAGAAAATTTAAGAAACAGGAAACAAAAATACAAATTATTTCCAAACCATGACACAATGGCATGATGGCAGAACTAATTTCTAACGCATGCAGTTTGAATATTAACTCACATAAATGTCCCTTCTTTTTTAAATGCCTCCTGAAAAATTCAAGAAACAAGCCAGTTATGAATAACATAGGCCAAGAAAAATCGCTCCATTTATAGTCACCTCCCAAGTGTTCTAGGGAAAGTAAGTGTTAGTTAAAAGGTAACATAAAGGAAGTTGAATTTTAATGAAGCATTAACACCAAAAAACCCAAGTTAAATGTTACTAAGGTCTTTAACATTAAGATGATGTATATACCCCAAAAAGATTGAGAACTCCAAACACTGATATGCGTAAGGCAGACCACACCAAGGAAAACTCTAGATTCAGAATAAATCTCCAAATGGTGAAGTGGCAGATCTCATCCCTGCAGGCACAGTGTTAATTGTTCCACTGTTCTTGCCATAAAATTTGCTATCTGGCTGGCTGAGAGGACTGCATTTTTTCTCTGTTAAATAAGATCATTATTATATGCGTGAAGTTTAAGCTACCAGTGGCTTTAGTTCTGGTTTCAGAAGCCCCATCTGCAACAAATGAAAATGAAGCTAATGTGCATGGAGGAAGAAAGAAAAGAGTGAAAAAAAGTCTGAAGGGAGAAGATATGATATACAGTATATGAATTCCTGGATCTTGTTAAACTCTGCCCCATCCTTCCTCTTTCTGCTAATTGGGTTGGTGAGCCAATACATGGCTCTTCCTGGTTTCAGTCACTTCAAGATAGGTTTCCAGTATATTCAACATAAGCCCTAACAAGACAGTGATGCAGCAAAAAGGAAAACACAGTTAACTAGAGGCAAAGGAGATCTGGCACTGCTGCTAAACAGCTGAGCAAGCATTGTAGGTATCTTCTCTGGATCTCCTTACTTATAATGAATATTTATTACACATACTGAAGACTGAAATATTTATTATCTTAGAATGTCTTTTTCTAATCTGCAGAATATATTTGTGCTCCTAATCTTTCCTGTTACCACCTCATGAATATGTTGAATGCTAACAAATATTAATACTACAAATAGGCATTTCCCAAATGTGTTGAAATCTATATATAAACCTTATTAATAAAGGACCTGGTTAAAAGACAATCAGAAATGTGCCGCCTGACTTCAATTTTTTTTCATCTAACTATTCAGAAAACAAGTAAAGATATTCAACTGTAGTTTGTGATAATGTGCTAATCAACTACAGTTGACTTCAAATTTTAGCCAAAGGAAAACAAAATTTTAGATTTATGAATTAGTATTAATAAAGTTTTCAAGCTGCTTTTTCAATGAGTATTTAAAAAATTTACAATTTGCAAAGAAAAATTCCTTACTTTGTAATAGATTGACAAAAAGCTGCCACCTCCTCGTTCTGTACTTCAATTTCTTGTAGAAGAGAACTTCCAGTTGGCAAACTACTGGTCCCATTTGGGTCTTTCTGTAATTAAAAAAGTGTTTTTATTTTAAAACTGAAAGATCCCCAAAATACTACATATCATTGAACAAATGCAATTTTAATGAAAAGATATACAAAGCTGTGGAAGCTTAATTATATCAGCAACAAAACTTTAAATTATTAATTTCCACCTTTGTAAAAGTAATGCCAACTAAATCTTGCTTTAGGTTCACGGCTTTTGTTTGCTCAAGTGTAGAAGCTGACTGTATTAGTAACAATAACAGATTGTATTAATTAGTAGTGCTAAAGACTTTTCTGTTCAAAATTGTACTGAAGGTTACATTTTAGAAAGTGAATACATATCAAATGAAATTCAAGGTTTATGCACTGTCTTAAGAAAATGAAGAGATCAAGCTCATGTAGGTCCCCAATAATAGAGCAGAAATTTTTTTTTAAGATTTTATTTTTATGCGAAAGTCAGCTATACAGAGAGGAAAATCTTCTGTCCATGATGCTTGATTGAGCTTAAGCCATTTACATTCAGGGTTAATATGAATGGGTGGTAATTTGGTCCTGTCATTTTAGCAACAAATTGTTCACTGATTTAGTCTTCTGTTGTCACTAATTTACTGGGATGTTCTTCACGTTTGTCTTTGGTTTTGTTCAGTGCTATTTCTTTTCTTAGTCAAGAGAACATCTTGAAGTATCATTTGTAGGGCAGGTTTGGAAGAGGCAACTTCTTTTAACTTTTCTTTATTGTGGAAGAATTTTTGTTTCATTTTCAAAGACAAAATAAAGCTTTGCTGGATATGTTATCCTGGGCCAGCAAATTTTTGCTTTTAGAATCTGGAATATGTCGCTCCATTCTCTTCTGGCCTGTAGAGTTTCCTGTGAGAGGTCTCCTGTGAGATTAATTGGCATTCCTTTATATGTCAACTGATTTTTTTCACGTGCACATTTAAGGATCTTTCCTTATGTCCAATTGAAGAGAGCTTGATCATCATGTGTCATGGTGAAGATTCCTTTTGGTCAAGCCTGTTGGGAGTTCTGTGCCCCTCTTGGATGTTGTTTCCCAAATCTTTCTCCAGATTAGCGAAATTTTCCCTTATTATTTCATTGAATACAACTGTAATCCCAGCTTCTCTTTCTGTATCTTCTAGGACTCCCATAACTCTTATATTTGGCCTATTAATAGTGTCTTTCAATTCTTGAATATCTTTTTTGGCCTGATCCAGTTCTGCTTGCAGCTTCTTGTTTGTTTTCCTTTGGTGACAGGAAATATCTTCCAATTCTGAGATTCTTTCTTCTGCTTGCTTCATTCTATTTTGGAGACTCTCCATTGTACTTTTAATTTGCTCCCCTGTATTCATTTCTAATGTATCAGCTTTCATTTGATTCATTTCCACTGTGACATATTTCTTAAATTCCTTGAATGCCTGCTCTACATGCTTCTCATTGTTGATAAGAAGTTTTATAACAGGTGTTTTGAATTCTGTATCCTTCATTTTCTTGACATCTTCCTCAGTTAACTCTGAAGTTGTCAAAGGCTTTTGCTCCTCTGCAGGGGAGTCTTCAGTAATATTCATTGTGCCTTTGTCTCTTCTTTTGCTCTTGGTCATTGTACTTCTGGTCAGCAGATTCTTCTCCTTTGGCATGTGTTTCTAAGCTGTGTCACCCACAGGTCTACAATTCAATTTTACTTACTGTTGTTGGCACACAGCTCTTTGTTTGCAGTCACTTGTGCCACTCTCTCCAGCGAGCTCCAGGTCTGGGTTCTTATGTTAGATTTCCACCTTGGCCTCCGTAGCCCCAGCTCCTGGCTCACCAGTCTCCACCTTCTGTGACACTGTGCTGTGGCTCCACCATTGTTTGTACAACCTTTATCCCACTTCTGGTTAGAGCAGGTCCCAGGATTAGGAAGGCAACAGGTGTCCTATATAGCTAGATTGTTGATGGTGCTAATTTTCCAGAAAATTTTGGCCATTAGGTCTGAGGGCCACATGAACCTATTTTGACCTGTACAATGTCACAGCATTATTTTTCTGTGGGACCAGTGCAATCCACTGAGCTTGGTGAGAACTCATGTTGCAGCTCACTGTTGTCCCTGTAGTCTTAAAACTTTTGCCATACCATACAAAATGGCATCTGATGTGCCACTACTAGAGTTCTTGATCTGCAGTCTGCCAGGTCTGAGGGCTACGTGGACCTATCTTTGATGGAACCTGTAGGATGCCATGTGGTTCCAGTTCGCAGAGTCAGAAATGAGTTCACTCCCAGCTCAGTGTATGTTCAGTCCTTTCCCTTGCCTTTGCCTCCTTAAACAAAATGGCACCCGAGTCAGCTGTAGGGGGTAGACTGGGCTGTGAAATCCACCCTGTTCCTGAAGCACCCATCTGCGACTTGTTGCTCTGTCTCTGCTCTTGATCAAATCAAACAGACCAGCACGAAGGGCAATTATTTGTCTGGGTTCACCGCCGGAGCTCCCAGTGAAAAGTCCCTTCCCATGAATGCTGCTCCATGAATGCTGCTGGTGTTTCAGTCACTGCAACACCACACTATTGTGCCCTGTGCTTTCCGTGTCTCTCAGTCTCCAGGTACCCCTGTGCTGTTGTTCTGTCCTCTCCTATGTCATGGAATGTGCCCTCTCTGCTGCATACTGGTTAAATATTTCTTCGTCTGTTTAAGTGTGTCCTTACCCTATTCTACCATCTTGGTTTTTGTTTTTTTTTTTTTAATTTCTTTTTATGACACAGTTTCATAGGCTCTGGGTTTCCCCTAACCCCTTCCCACATATTGAATTCCTCCATATTTTTACAGTCATGTCCAGTCAGGATTCCTTCATTGTGGGCATGAACTATGCAGACTCCAAAATCTTATTGTCCAGATAAATTCAATAGTTTCATTGGGAGACCATCCCTGGTCTGAAAGTAGAGCTGGCAGAATATCATCCCCTCCAATGAAAACACACAACACAACTTCAACAACAATTTACAACATTAAGAAGTTAACTGACATGATACTGAGTGACCAATATGTTAGAAAGTTCAAGTTCTTAACCACATCATGTGACTAGTTCATTGACATTTCAATTTAAGTTTATGTACCACCAGCTGCTATACACCTTAAGATGGTCATAGGGTTCTATTCAGCTGCCTCATTGTCTATCTTCATTTTTATATTTAGCAGCTTATAGTATTTAAGCATGATTTTTACTGAACTTGGTGAATTTTAGGCTATCCAAACAGGCTTATAACTCTAACAAGGCATATGTTAACAATTGAGGTACAGAACAGTTTTAGGAAGGGTGTACAGAGAAATCTTCAATGCCTTAGTGAGGAGTAACTAATCTTTGTGTCTTACCTAGTAAGGTATATGTGAGTACAAGCTGACTGTTTCCTGTCTGGTTCTAAGCTTTTCTTATTGGTGGTCTCTGTCTATCTGATCTAATTTGGGGTGGGGGGGAAAGCTCTGGAGTGACCCTGAATAGTCACTGCCAGAGGGTGGGGATCCCAAGTTGGAGCTAAATAAGGACCAGAGAAAGCTCTTCTCCCAAGGTCCGAAGGAAGTTTACTGTTCTTCTGTATGAGGACCGCTCAGGGCTCCTGGCTGTTGTTCCGATGACATTAGATCCTGTGAAGAAGGATCTGGGCTTCTTCTATCCCATGTAGGAGATCCAATAGGGAATGGATGACCTCAGAGTTCTCAGCCTACGAGGTCACTCCAATTCCCTGTGACCTGCTTTGCAGTTGGGATATAGTCCTTGGTGAGGATCCGAGAGTCTCCAGGGTTGGGATACAGGCCTCCTCCTGCTCAACTCTGTGGTTCCACACCCGCCCCACCAACCTGCTCTGTGCATTCGTCAGTCCCAGTGTTCATGCGCCGGCCATGCCGCAGCTCACTGCGCATGCGCTAGGCGCCTGCGCAGTACCGCGAAAGCTACGTAACTCTCCACCAGGAACCAAGGTGTGGCTTTTCCGGCCGGCGCCATTTTGGGTACGGCATGTGGCCAGTACATACAGATGCGGCTGGCAACACAACCCATTACATAATTAATACAGGGCATTAAAAGCATATCAGGCTTTTCAGTTCTTTGATGTAGACCAGAAGCAGTCTAACTCTCACTGATTGTTGGTACATTGGTTACATAACAATATCTTACTGCATGTGATACAGGCTGTTAAAGGTTGTAATAATATTATAATTTACAGGCACTATTTTTTGGCATCTTGATTCCTCTTAATCACTGCTTCTTTCTCGAATTTCCTTCTTTCAAAAAGTAACAGTCTTCTAACTAAAATGTGATATATACATTGGGAGGAAAATCACTTTTAATTCTACAAAATTGCAGCCCAGAATAACAGGGTTCCTTGGGGAGAGCCAGTTAAGTCAGGCCACTCTTCAACTTAACTCTGTAACCAAAGCACTAACTAAAACAACAGAACTAAAAATACCAAAACAGTTGAAAGCCCACTCGAATTTGCACCCAGCTCCATAGCCCTCAGACATCTGAAGCCCACATTATAGTGTTCTTGTTTCCTCACTGAATTTTAACTTCTTCAGTGACAATCAATTGAAATGGAATAGAAAGTGCGTCCTACAGGAAGTGGATTTCATTAAACAGAAAAAGTTCTTAATTCAACAAAATGTCTCTATAGCTTCTTTACACTATTTCATCAAACAGCTTACCACCATGGACTAACTCTTAAAACCACTTGTTTTCATCAAGAAAACCATACTTCTGCTAAGCTTTTGCTGTTTTTCTTAACACCTTCATTTGTTTTACACTGCTTAAAAATGTTGAAAAATATTGCTTGAACTAATGCTACCTCTCCATTAGACTGACATCAATCCTATAGTTTCCAGGCATGCGTCACTAATTTATGCTACCAAAAAAGGCAGTGCAGGAAAAGTTTCCTCTGATCTTTTATGTCAAGCCTTCCATAATCTAATACAATCTTATTTCCTATAACTTCCCAAACACTTTCCAGCTAGCTTCAATCATTTCCTTTTCCCATAAAACACAAATCATGCTGTCTTGATTC